AACCAAAACTGCTGCTGGGCGTCGCACGAATTGGTGTTTGCTGTTGGGGAAATGAGAGAGAGAGAGAGAGACGCTACAAAAATGCGGACTCATCGCACCAATTGCGCCCCTGCAACTCAAGTTGTCACTTGTCGGTGTGCCATCGAGCAGTGGGTGCCTGCGTCCTTCGCAGCCATTGAAGAATACAATCAACGCCGCTGGTCCCATAGCTGAACAGAGATAGCATGGAGGAGGGGAAATAGGTCGGTGTCTACGCTGGTGGCTGCATGATCGCTCGTCACTAGAAACAACATGTTTCACCTCGAGGTGCGTGCGCTTCTCAATAATATTGTCACCATTTTTCAAAAGTAAGTATCAGCTTTCGGTGCCCCTTCCTGAAATCACGTCCTTCTTTTCCCCAAATTTCAACCCCAATCAACAAATTCACAAGCCCCAATACTCCACTTCTTTTAGTACATTCATTAATTCAAACATACAAACAAACATTGTAGACATTCCTTAATAATAATAACTCAGACATAGCCTTGCCTTTCACGGCCTTGCTTGTATTTGTCAAACAGCTTCTCTGTTTTCGCATTCTTAAACGCACAACAAGCAATCAAATACACAGAAATGAGGGCAACCAGCGCCAAGAGCAGCACAATATCAGCCTTCCTCCATTGATTCTTCAAGCTCTCCAGCAGCCCTGCCTTGCAAGAGTCACAGCCATAACACAGCTGGGTTTGGTCGTTGTTCCACTTCAAGCAGTCCATGTCGGCTGCATTGTTTATCGGCATTATCCAGTATGTTGGGTTCACAAATGTGTACCCACACAGCGTCGGCGGCTTGCAGCATCCTGACTGCAAAAAACAAAAACAAAAAAATGATTAATCAAAACTTTTATTACATAATTAGTATATCATGAAACAAATACCTGGAGAGGAGAAATAGGAGCGTTAAAGAAATCCTGAGCCATACGAAAGCTCTGATTCAACTGCCCACACATACTAGAAGAACTCAAACAGCTCCGAATCAAATCCCACTTAAACGAGCTTTCAACTCTGTGCCTCAAAAACCCAGAAAAGTCATCCAGATGATACTCCAAGTAAGCCCGATTGGGCTCCAGATGCCCAGAACCTCTAATGGTGACCATGTAAATAAAACCCACCAAGCAAGCCAGAAGCACAATGAGGACCAGCATGGCGATGAGGTAAACAATCAGCAGCCAGCTGATGCGCCAGAAGGCTCCGATGAAGCCGGCGACGGCAACAATGAGGACAATGACGCCGAAAAAGATGATAGGCCATTGGAGGATTTGGACGCAGGCATTGTCTTGTTGGGTGGCCAGCCATATTCCGGCGCCGATGATGGGGACGGAGAGGAGCATGGCTATGAAGTTTATAGCTCCGATTACTGTTTTGGTGAGTGCCATTTCTGGGAGGCTGTTGTTTTGTGGGAGTAAGGAAGAACAGGTCGTCTTTGGTTATTTGAACCAGAGATACAATTGGGCGTTAGTGTTCAATCTCATGGCTACCCCAAACTATATTCAAACCAGGCCCAAGCCCACATAAACCAGGCCCAGGCTCAAGCCTACATAAACCTAGCCCATGCCCATGCCCACTATATTCCAACCGAGTCACATGCTTCGTTTGGGATGATGGTAGAGCGATGATATAGTGTGTCACAATCTTTGGGCCTTTTGGATTCAGACCGAAAGAAAGGAAACTGTTTTACCAAGATTGGCGGCCGAAACAATGGAGCATTAAGTTAGCGGAAGATGAACATGAACATATTTGAGTGCTTTTTGTTTGGTGGGTATTTATGAATGAATGCTTGGAAATTGGAAGGAGTCCCATGAAAATTCCTCCATGAAACTAAGCTTCAGCCATACCAGAAAGCATTTATTACTTTAATAAATTCCCCCACCAGTATCATCGCCTTAGTCAACAAGCTGTTTTTCCCAAAAGCAAGCCACAGAAAAAGAAAAAGATGATGAAGTACAACAACAAAAAGAAAAGGAGGGATCCTTGAGACTACAACCCATTTACATTATCATCCATCCCTTCTTCATTTACATTAAGTGCCCAATTTTGTGTTCTGCGTTTTTGTTTCCATCAGTGTTTGTGAGCTGCTCAATTGGGGTGCGATCTTCAGGTAATATTATGTTTTTAGTTTTTGCTTTTTTTCTATCTGACAACTGTTTGATAAAATGACGCACCCAACAATTTGGAGCTTCCAGGGAAGCGTGTGATCCTTGTGTTGTGTGAATTGTTTAATTAAATCGCCCATTTCTTTGGAAATCTCACCGTTCATTTCTTGAAGAAACGGATATTTGGGGCATTGATTGTGTTAGTTTTTCCTTAAATTCTCTTAGAACAGTGATGGGATCTTATGGCACCCCAAAAACTTGGATACCATATATGAGCAACAAAGATTGCTCTCAAGGGTTCTGTAGTGTATATTGTCCTCAGTGGTGTTACATCATGTTTTCACCTCCACCACCCTTAGAGTTTCCAGATGATGATTCAGGCCCAAATTTTTCACCTCTTGTGATTGCAATTATTGGAATTCTGGCTAGTGCTTTTCTTCTTATAACCTATTACACCATCATTTCAAAGTATTATGGCAACACGAGCCGCTTGTCTAGGACTCAAGATCATGACCCAAATCAGGAGTTTGAAGATACTCACAACCCAACACTCCACGAGCCGTGGCATGTCGCCACTACTGGCTTGGATGAAGCACTGATCAAGTGCATTACGGTTTGCAAGTACAAGAGAGGAGATGGGTTGGTTGAAGGCTCTGATTGCTCTGTTTGTCTCAGTGAGTTTCAAGAAGATGAGAGCCTTAGGTTGTTGCCTAAATGCAGCCATGCTTTTCATCTTCAATGTATTGATACTTGGCTCAAATCACACTCCAATTGCCCGTTGTGTCGTGCAAACATCGTCTCTGTCACTGCTTCTTCTCCACTTCAACTGCCTGCAACCACTGGAAACCCCACAACTAATGAGGCCATTCCAGAGACTTCTCAGGCAAATGACCATGAGGGTATTTCACAGGAACCTGGAAGAAGTTTTGGCAATGACAATGCTAAGAACTCAGTTCGCGCTTTCAGTGATCTTGGAAATTTGGTGAAAAGAGATGCTGTCATTGAGCTTAGAGATGGAAGATTACAGCAAATTAGAAGGTCCATTTCAATGGATCATTGCAGCCAAAACCATATCATTATCGCAGATGAGTTTGGAGGCATTGATGAAGCAGGAAGCTCAGGTGATGTTGGATCATCCAAACATTCGATGGGAGAAGACAGCAAGTCAAATCATAGAAAAAGAATCTTACATTGTGTGATGAGTCCTGTCTCAATGAAGAGATCATTCTCAAGTGGAAGATTTTCTCTCACGAAACATGGAAGAGAACACAGAGGACTTGCCCCTGTCTGATAGTAACAACAGAGAGAAAACCATGAACATATACCATAGGCTTCGTTAGCTGCTTTCAATCCTTTCCCTTAATGGTTGGTTATGGGTTTTTGTGAAGATCATCCATGGTTTTTGCTTTGTCATTCAATTGTCACAATTGTGTCTTTCTTTCATCATTGCTTCTTGTATAAAGACACTATGAGATCCTGTGAGCAAATTTTGACTTCGGCCGTTTTGGGCTGCTGGTTTTGCAAGGTGACGAGAGAGAAGCAGTAATATCTAAGAAGAAGACAGTGGAATTAATGAGATACAGACTGATGCGTATAAAGAAACAAAACATATAGCAGAAAGGATGATGATGAGATGAAACTGTGGAATAATAAGAACAAAATTATGCATCGAATGGCACAATTTAAATAAACCCTTTTAGCTGCTCCACCTTTTTCTCTGTTCAATGCTAAAAAGTATGAATGTCACTTCTTTTTCCAATAATTGTTTCACTGTGCCTCCATTATCACAGAGAAAGATAGACTGCTCTCATGACTCTCATCATCACCTTGAAAACAACATCCGCCATCTCTTTGATCAACCTACATTGTGAATCTCTACTACCTTTTACAAATTTGGTTGAGATTTTAAAATATCAATCCCCTTGGGCTACTTTGCTAGTTGTTATCTGACATAGTTTGTAGCTCGCTCACTCGGTGTAGTGACTCGATAGGTTGGGTTACTTCGGTTGAAGTCTCAATCTAAACCCAACTCAAAAGTTTTGAAAAAAATGCAATACTATAGAAGATTATGCTAGAGCTATTGCTATTGATAGATGGTTATATAAGATATTAGAAGTGACCCATTGTAATATGTCATTGTCTTCCACACCAACCTAATGCATTATTTCACAACCTAATGACTAGATAGCATAACCAATAGCACATGACTTGTACGCTCTAAACCATCACAATCATCGATAGTGAATTAGGAAGGACTATCGTAGGTCGTGACCTACATGAATTAATTAGTGCATTGTCACTTTAATAATCATGTCTTACCTTAATATCCTTAAATTACATGGTTACCATACTTCGAATAAATCCGTGACACCCCAAGTTCACCATTAGCAGATATTGTCCTCTTTCAACTTTCTCTTTTGACATTTTCCTCAAAGTTTTTAAAACTCGTATGCTAGGGAGATGTTTCCACACCCTTGTAAAGAATGTTTCGTTATCTTCTCCAATCGATGTGGAATCTCACACTCCACCTCCTTTCGGGGGACCCAGCATCTTCGTTGACACTCATTCTTCGCTCCAATTGATGTGGAATCTCACAAATTCTCTCGTTCTCGTTACTTTATTTTGGACATTGACTCCTTAGGTTTGTAAAAAAAAAATGAACTCAATATTTGGCATTGTGTGGGTGAGGAAGAAGAAGATGAACACAAGCCTCCCTCCAAAAAAAGAATCCTGTAACTAACTTGGATGGTGATGAAAAGTTGAGGAGGAAGAAGCAAAGGAAGAGAGGTGAATCCAAGCCAATCCCTTTGACAACTTTTTCTTCTCATCTGTCCCTCTCTCCCTTTTGTGTGGTCTCCAAAGAAAAGGAAACTAAAGCAAACAAGACAAACCCTTGATAGCTACAAAACAATATATTAATTTACAAATCACACCAAACCAACCCACATGCACACTCACGCACACACACACAGAACTTGGCATTTTAATGGATGATTCCCATTCAAATCTCAAAGCTTTTTGTTTACATTTAACACAAAACACCTTCTTCCTCAATTATTCTAACCATTTGATGTGCTGCCGCTGCTATGTCATCCACTGATCTCAGTTGACACCCTTCTTCCACCTGCATTTTCACAGTTTCATGCATATCATCATTAAATTTCGTTGCCCATTTCATCAAAACTGACACACATATATATATATATACCTTAAGGCTAATAGAGTAAAGAACCAATGGATGAAAGTCAGTGACATTGAGATGAAGAATAGTGAGACGAAGAGCCTGCAAGCCAGCAATGAGCTTCAACAGCTGTCTATGTGTTCTTATTGAAAGGATTCTGAGATTCGCATGAGTTTCAATCAAAGTGACTTCAATGTCAGCTGAAGAAGCCTTGGATTTGGCTGAGTACTGAGAGCTGTTACTATCTGAAAACAACTTCCTTCTCACTGAATCTTCATTCTTATAATTCTCTTGTTTTTCTTCTATTTCTTGGTGCAAAATTTGCAGCTTCTTGGCTTCAAGTGTTGATAGGACATGCTCCAATTCCTTCACAAACTCCACTGCTCCTCCTACTATGGATGCTTGGTCACCCTTCATACAATCAACACACATTATTATCAACTATCATGATTTTAGGACCTTGCAATAATCAATAGGGTTAGGAGAAGACCTCAATTTTTAGCTCTAATTGTAAATGGGTCTATTCAAAAAGGGAGGAAAAATTGAACCTTTCACATAAAATGAAATAATTGAACCACCAATTAGCATAATGGAGATTAATAGGGTAAATATGAACAAAAGTGGTAGCTTTTTTTCTTTTTTCTATTTTCACAAAGCTTTACCAACACTAATAAAAAAAATTAGAATGGTTATGAACTTGAAGACATAATTATGAACATTAATTTAAATCTCATGCATTAATTAACGAGAAGTTATTAAATTAAGAGAACAAACCCTTTGAACATAGGATTCAGGCATGAGGGAACGTAACACTGAGAGATGCTCACTCATCAGCTTACGTCGGTTCCTTTCAACAGCAATGTGTGTCATTCTTTGTGTTTCAGCTTCTTCTTTGTTCTTACAAGCTTTTGGTTTTCTCTTTCTTTTCCTCTTCCCTTGCTGCAACCCGACCGCCCCCCAGTTGCTACTTTCCGCCTCGTTCGGGTGGCGTTTTCTCGCCAAATTGGGTTTCGGCCGGTGTTCCAACGTGCCATGTTGGTGGTGATCTTGATGCTTCAAACCCTTTTGGTTGGAGAAAAAAGTAGTCTCCGACGAGTCGCATACTCCGTGGGAAGTGTTCGGCGTCGGAGAGATGGCGTCGTAGATGATTAAGTTGAACAAGTCATTGGAGGAAAGAGCATCAATACTCATGTTTTTGAAGCTCCAAGGTTGTTCTTTGGTTAGGGTGGGTAGATATAATGCAATTGAGAGAATGCTAAAGTTTTCAAAATGGTCGTAAAAGGAAAGAGATATATAGAGTTTCACGTGAGAAGGCACAGAATTAGATCGCTAATTATAATATTTCATGGGTTAAATTTGAATTATTTGAAAGTATAAGGACGAAATTTATAATTTAGCATCGTTTTTATATAGATACCATCATAGAAAGTGCCAAAAATTGGAGCAGATTATACAGAGGAGAGAAAGAGATGGAAGGGTGAGGGGGACCAAACAATCCAAATACAAATATGCATAGGGACAACTTACCAAAGCTGTGTTTCAGACATTGTCTTAAACTTCACTTTCCAAACCTTAATATCAAAAGTTTCGATTTTTAATGTATCCCAACCCACGAAAGTATGTTCAAAGCGCGTTTAATCGGATCGACGAGTGATTCTTTACCGCCTTACATAAATCATATTCATCGATGAAAAAATGTTTCAAAAATATTTATAGATTTCGAAATTGAAAATGACCATATATTCATTCTGAACTAACATTTGCAATGGTTTAAAAACTATAATATATAATATATAATGTATAGTTGATAGATACAAAATCATTAAATGATGAGTAGCAGAGGGAATGAAACGGGGGGGGAGAGAGAGAGAGAGTATATTAGGGTAGAGAGAGAAAGTGGATTAAAAATAAAGTTAAGATTTTTGAAGGAGAAGTTGAAAGTGTGGTCCAATGTGTCAGACCTCTGTACCCTAATCCATGTGACCACATACTTTTCACAAAGTCAATCTCACCCCATCCTATTTTAATTCCATTTTTTCTTTTTCTTTTTCTTTTTTTCCTTTTCAATATCGAAAAAATTAATTTTCCTCCATAATTTAAAATTATATCATTTATTAAAACTAATAATTATAAATATTAACATGTCATTATTTTCAATAATTTTTACTAATTAAATAGTTTTTTTTTTATTGAAAAAAGAAAATAGAAGGGTAGTTATTTTATTATGGTATGGATGTATAATATTGTTTGTTTTTGTGTAAGAAAAAAAGATAAAGGAAACAAAAATAAATGAGAAAAGACATGGAAGAATGAGAGGAAGTTTTGTAATATAGTGGGAAATAAAAATGATAATTGAAATAAGAGGTTGACAATTTTTTTCATGTTATGGGAAATGGGACCCATCAACTTTCCTTTCTAAAATTTGCATTCCTTTTTCTTTTCTTTTTCTTTTTCTTTTTTCATTTTCTTCTCGAATAGCTTCAAGAATTTGGGACATTTGTCTTTCTTTGTTCCTCAATATCTAATGCCCAAATATTTGGGCTAATGGTTGGCTTGCTACTGGATTGAGCTTGGTTTATGGGCCTACCATTGCTACCGGATTGGGCTTGGTTTATGGGCCTACCATTGCTACCGGATTGGGCATGTTTATGGGCCTACCATTGCTACCGGATTGGGCATGTTTATGGGCCTACCATTGCTACCGGATTGGGCTTGGTTTATGGGCCTACCATTGCTACCGGATTGGGCTTGGTTTTTGGGCCTACCATTGCTACCGGATTGGGCATGTTTATGGGCCTACCATTGCTTCCGGATTGGGCTTGGTTTATGGGCCTACCATTGCTACTGGATTGGGATTGGTTTATGGGCCTACCATTGCTTCCGGATTGGGATTGGTTTATGGGCCTACCATTGCTTCCGGATTGGGCTTGGTTTATGGGCCTACCATTGCTACCGGATCGGGCTTGGTTTATGGGCCTACCATTGCTTCCGGATTGGGCTTGGTTTATGGGCCTACCATTGCTACGGGATCGGGCTTGGTTTATGGGCCTACCATTGCTACCGGGTTGGGCTTGGTTTATGGGTTATGGGCTTATCTAAGGTCTGACGGTTAAAAAAGTATGACAGTGATTCATAGTTTGGAGGAACTACCGCAATTGTTTACACTTTACATTACTTTGTATTGGATAAAGCCATTTTCATTACGGGCAAGTAAACCAGCAGCCCTGTATGTAATTCTCATTGAGTATTCTGTTTTTTTTTTTTTTCTGTCAAGAAAACCAAATAAAAACTTTTTACAAAGGAAAAAGAAATCTAAAAAACAAATAAGTAGAGAACCTAAAGAAAAAAACAACAATCTAGGAGAAGTAGAAAGGGATCGAAACTCAACTAATCAAAATCAAATCAAACTGAACATGCCGGCCTCTGCAAGTTATTCCGATCACCCGTTTCACAGAGCTCTGATAACCCACCGCCATTGCCAGGGTTCCTCGCCAACTCCTCAAGTGTCACGCAACTCCCCGTCCAATTATGCCCTCTTAGGATCTTAATCTTCACGTGCTCCGGTAATATCAACTTATGCCGACCTTCCCCTTCTCTTTTCGCCTTCACTATCGAATACCCTGTTGAATGCGATCTCGAGAATTTCTTCCTACTCTCTTCCTTCTCCATCTCCTCTGTTTCAATCCTCTGTTTTCCCTTGTTCGAACAAGACCCCTCATCATCATCGGCATCGGAATCGGCATTGGCATCGTTGTCCTCATCAATATCAATACTAATAGCATCTTCAATTGACTCACGGCGGGAAGTTCGTGGTGGATCAGAGGTCTTATCAGCAGAATTCCTCCGCGAATCGGAGTCGAGATTTCTCCTGCAAACAGGGCAGGTCTTGTGGGATTCGAGCCAGAGATCAATGCACTCCTGATGGAAAACATGGTAGCAAACAGTGAGAAGGCGAAGGAAGCTCTCGTCGTTGAATTCGATAAGGCAAATGGCGCATTCTAATCCCAGATTGTCACTGCGAAATTCCTTGATTTTGGAATATGGGAAAGTGGGAAAGGAGTTGATGAGAAGAGGGTCGAGGCCAGTAGGGGCGGCAGGGGAATCGGTGGAAGGGTGGAGAAGGTTGCCGGAGGTGGAGCGGCGGAGGTTGCGGGAATGGAGGAAGGAGTCCACAACGCAGCGGCAGCAGTAGATGGAGAAGAAACCGACGAAGAGGAAGGCAACGAGGATGAGTGTGAGGACAATGGTGACAGGAGGACTGCCGTGATCTTGTGCGGGGAAAGGAATGCGAGTCAAATCGGTGGACATTGGCCGGAAAAGGACCTGAAGGAGAGGAATGTCCGGAAGAAGAACAAGAAAAGGAAATGGGATTTAAGAAGGAAACTCACATTGGTTGGTTGATTCGCCTTGTTATAACTGGCTCTTGTTTGTGTGGTTTAAGGTATTGGTTGGATTTGTTTGGCCAACACTCACCCTTCTCAATCCTTCTTTTGTGGGTTTTGTTCTATTTTTGTGGGGAATCAAACCTCTTCCCTGCAAGTCCTTATGCATCAAACCACATGTAATTTAGAGTTGGGTTTCAAACCAATAACTCGTATCTTAATGCAGCAACAACACAGAATAACAAGTTTCAAAACATAAACAACAATCTAAAGGAACGATAACTATCTGAAGGGATGAAGATACAAACTACGAACGATAACTATTACGAGAATATTGCTACCTACGACTCATTATACAAAAAGGGAACAACGTAATGGTCCAACGACCAATACAACGCTAGGGGATCCTCAATGATCACAATGTCGGTGTATAAAAATTGCTGCCTGCCTCATGTGAAGAACTAACTCATATTCCCATTACAATAAGGTTAAAGACTTTCCCAGAAAACAGAAGAATCACTCAATGATGATCTGGGAAGGTGGTGACAATCATACATTTTCCCTTTTCTTTGAATGAGAAGGATTACATATAGTAACAACAGAAAAAGACACTAACAGATAAAGACCATATGCCTCAAATTTTGATGATTGGAAGTTAAGCGGGTTGGAAACGAGAATAAGTAAAGAACCAACCAAAACTCTATCTGAACAAACAGAATCTTCATCTGCCAACTTATGAGAGACAAAGTCCATTATGATGCTTGTTAACCATGGAACTTAAAGTTCTCGTTATTCACGTTCAGTGATTGCTTGGATCATATTATTCGTTGTCGTCGATCCAGTCACCATATATCCTACTGATTTTATCGGGCCCCTTCCATTTCTGATGAGTTCTCTGCCCTGACCTTTGAATTACAATGGTTGACCTCTGAGATGGAATCATGACATGATAAACGTCTGAATGGGGAACCGAAGGAACAGAAGCAACCACTGTATCGCCAGGAGCTTTCGGTAATACTCCCTGCTTCTGGTCAGGAGGAGCAGATGAAGAGTCTCTAGTTTCTGTCTCCATAAGCCCACCACCATAACGGTGCAATTCTGTGGTTAATTCGAAGTATAAGTCTAAAACCACTAAAACTAAAGAACTCTAGACACTACTACATGCTTATGTTTTTCAATCTACTCGATTAACTGACTCGACCTATATGACTATATCAAAGTTCAGATAAATGACAATTACTCGGAGAAACAAAGCATGAAAAATCATAAAAAAGAATTGAAGCTTAGTTAGATATCTTTGCAATCAATTGATTTTGGAGTCTTGAAAGTGGAAACACAAAACAGAGTAATGCATGCCAAATCGCAATGGAGAGTAAATGGAATAGGCTCAAAATCTAAGCCACTGGAAAATACAAAAGAAAATGTAAGGCTTTCCATCTGGTTTTAAAATGTGTCAGCTGGTTTCCACACCCTTATAAGAAATATTTCGTTCTTCAATGTGAGATCTCAAAATCCACCCCCTTGGGCCCAACGTCTCGCTGGCACACCGTGCCACCGCCCGGTGTCTTGACTCTAATACCATTTGTAACAACCTAAGCCCACCGTCAGTAGATATGGTTCTTTTTTAGCTCTTCTTTAAAGTTCTAAAACAAATCTACTAGAGAAAGGTTTCTACACCCTTAATGCTTCGTTTCCTTCTCCAACCGATGTGGATCTCATAATGAAACCATTGTTCGAACAAAAGTCAACCGAGATTGAGCAGATGTATCCTATGGGGCATGGTAAGAGCACTTTCTATTAAAACGCTTAACCCAGGGATTCTTAGAGTGCTGACAGATTAAGCGACTGAACAGATGATGGAAACTATACTAACAACCAAAAGAAGGGTTGAAATTGATTCAGAATTTTTCTGTATAGTCAACAACTTCATTAACGAAGGAATGAGAAAACATACCAGCAGCACCATGAGCAAAATGACATTTGTTTCCGAATGGACAATATCCCGTCAACTCCCACTTGTTACATATCCTTGTTTTCCAATTCGAAGGCTTAGTGTTTGATCCATTTCCTGATCCGCCACCACTGTAGCCACCAGGACCCAGGCTTATTGCCACACTCTCTCGATTCTTCGACTGCTCGTCGTGAAGAAATGTACAACCATCCCCATATGGACACCCCTCCTCGGTGTAAAACTTCTTGCAATGTCGTCCTTTATATGACCTCTGCGACTCGGAACCAAAATTTGATGTCCCAAGTGAAGGTATCTGAAATTCCTCCCTAGGCTCTAAAAATACCGCCTTTTCTTCCTCATGGGCGGCCACAATTTCCTGCTAACAATACTCAATGCAATGAGGAACTCATGATACTCAATTCATCCAATTCTGTGTACAAAAGGAAGCATAAATACCAATGTATAGCAGTAATTAAATGGCTGAACTCTAAGCTAAAGAACGAACTACGAACTACACTACCCAACAAGAAATTTCAGCTATCAAGCTAACAATTAAACAGAGAACATAACAAAGATTAAATATTAACTAAGAACCAAACCTAATACCTGCCAATTCGGTGGTGGCCGCCTAAGCTCCTCAATGCTGTGAGCAAAATTGCAATTGGTGATGTAAGGGCAGGTTCCAGCGCGGAATTTGCAGCAGAGTTTGGTCTTGAAGAACATTTTACCTATCGCTTTTGATCGATTCGAGGACGTAACATCCTGGGAGCTTCTTGATTTCTTATTTGGGGGTTCGCTGCCGGACCGGCTTTGGGATTGCCTTTGATCATAACTCGAATTCGAGGGCGTATCGACACACCCATCAACGCCATTGTTCCAAGCTCTGTATTCGTCTTCGGTGGCCCAAACTTCGCCAGGCCAATTCTCGCTGCTCGTCCCGGGAATCACATGGACTACGTTTCCCCCATTATAATCCATTCCAAACAATTTCACTCACCACGAAAAAAAAACCCAGAAATTCTTACCTCCAGAGAGCTACAAAATCATCAAAGTGCCACGCAGAAAACCCTAATTGAAAAAACATGGGCACTGAATCAAACAAAAGCTACAGTTTTTCCAATTTCTAGGAAATGGGTTTCTTTAAACTCGACAGAACATCAGCTCGTGAAAGTTGAAAAGCTCAAAAACGACTCATTACAGAATGGAAGAAGTTTGTGGAGAAATGAGAAAAGAAAGTAAAAAACAGATCGAGGAGAAGTGGAAGAGAAAGTTAGTAGGAAGATCGGACAGATCTAAGAGCATCATAAATATTACAAAAGGGAAAAATAAGAACAAGCGAGCGGAAAACAAGGCTCGTGTGGTTCAAAGGTCGAAGGAAATATAGATAGAGTAGAAGAAGAGGTTAGATTTGGACCGCGCGATAAAAATGCTGAGATAACTTGAAAGACAAATATCAGGAAACGACAGCCCGAGGAGATTCCGAAAGGAATAAATTTCAATAGATAATTTTGTAAATGAAACTAACTTCTAATCTGTGTTTTCTTCTTTCCTTTTCAAATGTCATTAATTTTCTGCCTGCCCTAAGTTAATAATCCCTAATGATTTGTGATTTCAAAAGAAAAATAATCCCCAGAACGAACCCAGGTCCATACAAAAGTCTTGGCAAGGTTGGGCCCAAATAAAGAAGCTACTAGGTCAAGAGACTCGAAAGCTTGCCTCAGCTTGGGTCGAATCCATGTAGGCGTGCACTTGCGACTTTATGAGTCGATGAGCCCAGATCTGGCTTTCTCCTCCCCTTATCAAAAGAGAAAGGAATTGTGGGTCAACTCTCGCGTAAATAGATTACAAAAACGTTATTGAAAATAATTCAATCCCCACTCTCGACTATAAGTGTACTTCTTTGACATGAGCATTAAAGCGTGTGGGACAAGCACCAATCCAGTGTGCAGTTTTTTCTGGTACTAATAGAATAATTAATTTTTTTTTTTATAGAAAAAATCTAATATGAGGAGCGAAAACAGTAAAATTTATATGAAGTTAAGTTGCATGAAACTTTAGCAATTTATTCATAATCTTCATTATGCCACGTCAATTACCTATTAAATTGATAGAAAATTGAAGAACACATACAAATTTCAATAAAAATGATGGGTAAGGGATAAAAAGCTTAGAACCAACTAAGCAATAAAAAGCTTAGAATTAACAATATCCTTGCATTGTTTTGAAAGACAAAGTGCTAACTTAAAGTTATTATTATAAAATTGCTAAAATATCTGCAAAAACGTCTTCACCTCGACCAATACATTCCATGGAGAAGAAAATTGGAGGAGATGGTTTAGTTGCCCTCATACTTTGGATCAGCCATCACATAGTGAAATGCTATTACCAATACAAATATAAAGATCCCCAGAAAATTTGCAAAGAAGCCCAGATCTCGATCGTCAAACATCTGTAACACATTTAGTTTTGACATTAACAACAATTCTTCATGCAAATATATATATATAAACACAAAGAATATCATCTTGAGATAAAGCCCAAATCAAATTTGTATTCAAATTGACATTTGACAATGAAACTATCAACAGAAAAGAAAAAAAGAAAAACTCATGTAAACAAAACTAGCAGATTTCCAATCAATCTCTCAACATCAAGCCCATAAACTAAAATTCACAAATATATGGAATGAGTTTTTAACTCAAGGAAACTCTACCAATTATATAATATATGCAGAAACAATCTCTAGTTTTTTCATTCCACTGAAAGATCTATGATGCTGCATAGAAAGAACTTCAGACTTCATCATGATGCAGATTGCAATAAGCAATCACTTTTTCAGCAGCAAAAAGAAGAATCCCAAATCTAAGAAATGAAGACACATTTCAAATTAACTACATTAAAATCCAATCAATCCAGCACTAAACTCGCTTCACATTATAATTTTACTAAAAAGACAGCATTCATGCTAAGGGGGGTACTCAAGGTGTTATAACCAGAACGGATCTACTCCAGACTTCACCAGAGTCATCAAACTAATTCAGACTTCGCGTTCCATCAGATAAAATCATCAGAACATAAAACTCTTTAAAGAGAACCATAACATGAAAGTTGAAAATCAATAGCATAAATCTAAGTAACCAGTAACAAATTGTGGTGATTACGACCCACATTAACCGCATTATCCTATGTATACGAAGAGAGCATATAGTGCGCAGAATGAAATCACTCCGGAGAGTCTCCGAAATTGGAATAACAAAAATTGGCCGACTAAAATGCAAATCTAAATAACCAAACGGCGTTGCTAAACAGTCAATGGTGTTGCCGACTGGGATACCAATTAAGAAAATGCAGGAAATAATAACAGACACAAATCTCAGGGTTCGTTTCTGAATTCTGAAGGGAAAATACGAAGTTAATCTCTGTAGATCTTGATGATTTCAACAAAATTATACAATCAAAATTGATGAATCAATTGGGAACCATATTAATGAAGATAAGAGAGAAAGAATTGAATTACTCTGAGGAAAATCGTGGAGTTGGCGACTGCGGAGAAAGAGGATGAGAACTGCGACAGAGAGAGGGTTGTGCGATCAGCGACAGAGAGAGCGTCGTGCGATCAGCGACTTGGAGAGGCGGGAGCTACTTCGGGTTCGGGCGCGGACTACTGAAGAAAGACCAGTAACTAGAGGCCCAAATAGTCTCATGGGGCCCTTCTGAAAATACTAGATATCTTGGGGGCCATTTATTTATTTGTTTACAATATTTTTATATATAAACAATTTTAAAAGTAAAGCAAAGGACCAAAAGGTTTAAATGTCTCATGCCACGTGGAAAAGAGTTTCATTTTCGTAAAAGAAAATGAAGCAAATTTTGTAAAAATTGTTTTTCAAAGAAAAATAAAATAAGGAACCGGCTCCCCGGAGTTCCCTGTTCGTTAGCAATTCACGTGCACGTTCATACACGTGTCACAATCTCTTACGCTCTCAACTTCAAATCCAACCATATATAATCCCCTATATAAATGCATTCGCGATTCATTAGAAAAGAAAAAAAAAAAAAGAAAAGAACTGTTCCATTTCACATCCTTCGCAAACTTGCAGCTATGAAATCGGCTCTCTTCAGAACCGTCTCCATTCCCGTTATCTCGCCGTCCGGCACCGCTTCGTCATCCTTCTCCAATTACAGACCGTTGCATGGAGTTTTCACCGGCCACAAGAGTTCCGTTTCGTCTCCAAAGATCTCTCTGCTTTTCGAGATGAATAATCCTAGAGGAAGGAATTCGAGTGGTATACGAAGGGTGTCATCGGAGAGCGACATCTCTCGATCGCTGCATGAGGTTTCGAATCCGTATGATCAATTTGGAGGAGTCGGATCTCGATCTCGGACTCGATCCTCTCATTCTGAAATACCAGAGGAGGAGTTTTTGAACCAGGATGAATTTGACAGTGATTCGATGGAGGAAGACTCTGGATGTTTGGATTCCGGAATCGGCTGCAGCGATGGCGCTGAATTTTTTACAGATACGTTTTATGACGGAAGTAATGACCGTAATAAGATCGGAGCGTACTACGAAGAGTTGCTGAAGTTGAACCCTAACGACGCTCTGTTACTGAGAAACTACGGAAAATTCTTACATGAGGTAATTGAACATTCGAATTGTCAATTTGAAAGTCTTTTTCAATCTGAATGTTGGATGATAGAAAGTCACTAGAGAATTCTCATGGATTTATAAGCGAGGAATACTAACTCTATTGGAATGATGCTTTTTGGGGAAGCCCAAAGCAAAGCCACGAGATCTTATGTTCAAAGTAGACAATATCATACCATTGTGAAGAGTCGTGTTCGTTTAACACTGAAATCGAATGAAATCGGCTCTTAAGTTTTACTTTGCTTGATTTGATTTGATCCATCGTGTAAAGGTGGAGAAAGATCATGTGAGATCAGAGGAATGCTACAGCAGAGCAATATTGGCGAATCCAAGCGACGGAGAGTTGTTGGCTTTGTACGGAAAACTGGTGTGGGAGTCTCACAAAGACAAGCAAAGAGCTGAATATTACTTCGACCGCGCCGTGCGTGCCTCCCCTAACGACTGGTAACTTCCGATCTCTGAATCTAGCAATGTAGCCCTAAATTGTCCGAATTCAATGGCTCTGGTTCTGAATGATTCAGTTTGTGTGTGTAGTTTGGTGATTGGTTGTTACGCCTATTTCTTGTGGCAAATTGAAGATGATGAAGAACAAGAGGCGGCGGAGGTATGGCCGGCGGCTATGGTAGCGGCGTTTTAATTGATCAAATGGATTGGGAGACGACAGTTTTGGCAAAATAGGAGAGGAAGAGGCAAGAAAGAAGTGGCATGCGATTCCTGAATGGGCATTTGAAGAGGGAACAGAGATTAGCTTCCGGGTGCTCTCAATATCTCATTTTTTATTTATATTCATATTTATATTTAAAGCACTTTTTACTTTTTTTTTTTTTTTTTTTTTTTTTTTCCCCGTTCCGTAAAAAGTGTAAATTAGACTTTCGGGAGGTGTATTCGATGTCCCAATAATAAGAATAATTTATTACATTTATTTTGTTCCAAAAATTGCAACAACCTCTCCTCGATTACAAATAAATCCATCTCACTTTGGGCTCTCACTTTGGGCTCTCACCGAAGGTTTTTAAAATATGATATTGTCCTCGAGAGGAAGGAAGAAAACCCTTCCCCGGAGAGGTTTAGGGAAGAGAGACATTCTTGACCAAATCTCAATCTAGATTTACACTACCCAACAAAATTCACAATTTAATTGGATATTATTTTATATATTTTAATTATAGATTTAAAAAATGAATTTGTTGTAGGAAAATTAAAGAAAATATATACAAGAAAAGCCGGACAAAATGACGACAAGGGAAGCTTCCATCTATATGGGAATCATAGAAACAAAGTTTCTTAGATGCTTTCATATGGGCAATCCAAACATTATATTCTCAAAATGTCACGATATAATAATATATTTAAAATTTGAAAGTAAAGATTGATTGTTATCGTAGATCACAAGCTAACTTAGCTTGTAAATAAGAATGGATTGTTATACTAACTTTCGAACAACAAATAAGTATTTTTTTCAAATTTTTATTCGATAGAAATCGACTAAGAATTTAAGCAAATAATTAAAAAAGAGAGAGGGCTGTGGAAAGAATAAGAAGAAGAAGAAGTGTCACAATTACAATTACAATTACTTGTCCTAAACGCAAACACTCTTAGTTTTTGATCTAATCGACCCGACGGTTCTTTACTAACGAATTACTTGGCTTTAATATTCAACTAATTAATTATAATACTCAATCTATCTGCCTTAACTATAATATTCCCCCGCCAACTTTGACCAACACCCGAATGTCAAAGGTCAACACAGTCATTTCCTCTTAAATATCTAAATATCAGTTACAAAACTAATCTCTTTGTCCTTTCTCTCTCGTCCAATGATTCTTTTCAACCATGATAATGATTTTTTTTAAATCATTTTCTATTTGATTGGTGGCAAAATATTAAATTCCAAAAATACTGTTGGATTGATGATGATATTCCAAAATAAATAAAAAAAGAAAATAAAAATAAAAATTCAATGCAATGTACCAATTATTGTGTGTATCCTATAACACTAAACATAAACAACATATTGATTCAGCTCGATTGATCCACCAAAGCTGTCTGAGATTATATGAACACCAAGAAACAAAAAAAAAAAAAAAAAAAAAAAAAAAAAAAAAAAAAAAAAAAAAAAAAAAAAAAAAAAAAAAAAAAAAAAAAAAAAAAAAAAAAAAAAAAAAAAAAAAAAAAAAAAAAAAAAAAAAAAAAAAAAAAAAAAAAAAAAAAAAAAAAAAACATGGCAGTGTAATCCTATCCCTATGATCCACACAAAACACCCCCTTCAGTTCATGTGATGCAAACTCCCCCTTCAATTGTTGATCTGCAAAAAAAGAATAATAATAAATAAATAAATAAAATTGTTTAGGTTTCTAATAATTCATAAAGCTAATCTTGATTAAACAAATAGCTTTTCTCAAATCCACGATAGAAATCCAAAATATTAAATAGAAAAGGTTTGATTTTTAAAAAAAACTTACTGTAAAAGTCTAGTCCAGTATGATTCACTTGGTTCTTCGTTCATCATAGACTCCAAAGTGTCGAAAATTGAAGGTGGTTTGGGGAAGCCACTAAATGGATATGTTCCACACTCAATTTGGTTGACATTTGAAGTTGAACCAGGCGACTCAGAAATCAATGGAGGAAGTGGATAATAGTTCACATCCCCAGTTTCTAACCCAACCAACCCATTTTCAAAACCTGACCCCGGCGCCAAACGGGTCGAAAAATCTGCCTGAAACTGGCTAGGGTTAGGGTTTGGAGGTTCATTAATGGTGGTTGGGTTTAGAAGTTGGCATATATTGTCCAGGACTTGGAGTTTGGCTATTTCTGTTTGCACCTTTAGATAATCGCTGTTTAAAGGATTGTTTATCCCATTAATCAACGTAGAAAGGTTGAGCAGGTCTGTTCTTGGCTTGTGAGTCTTTGGATCAATACCCATTTCGAGAAGCTTCTTCCTCAAATGGGTATTCCAAAAATTCTTAATTTCATTGTCCGTTCTTCCCGGAAGATGACTAGCAATTTTCGACCACCTGAAAATTCACCATAACCCATAAGCTAAAAGTACGTTTGAATTTCAAATCATTGAAACATACCTATTCCCAAGTGTTTTATGAAGCTCAATTATGGAAGATTCTTCTTCCTTGGAGAAATTCCCTCTCTTAATATCGGGACGAAGATAATTGGTCCATCTCAATCTACAACTTTTCCCGCACCGATTCAAACCAGCACACTTCGGGAGAGCTCTCCAGCTTCCGTGGCCATTTTTAGCCACGAAATCGAACAACTTCTCGTCTTCCTCTGGAGTCCATGGCCCCTTTTTGACACCAGGTTCATCACAGCAAGGAGATCGACCCATCTTAAGAGAGAAGCTCAAGAAAACAAAAAAAATTGTGATTTTTGTTTAGCTTAAGGAAAGAAAGAGAAAACAAAGCTGGTTTTATAGGCATTAAGGGATGCAAAGACGACGAATTTTTCAAAATGGTGATGTCATTGGGGTTACTAAAAAGTGGAAAACTTTAATATTTTTGCTTCCAAATACACGACAATTGAAAATCAAACCTATTCTATTTCTTTTTTTCAAAGCTTAGCATACTAACAAATGAATAGCACCAAATTGTTGGATTAGGTATAGCCTTTTTTTTCATCGATTACGCTCGTTTCCCTTTCTATTTCCTCGATTTTAATGGCGTTTTCGTTTGAATTTTCGTTCAAAAAGACGGGTTTTTTCTACAATAAAAATTGTATTTCTAGAACGACAATGTATACATCAATGAGTTCTTCAACGCCGAACGTAGCCCCACAAACGTAATCCAACTTTTATGTAGTTATGATCCGGGTTGGTTGCTAAGGTAGAATTATTATCATAAATGAATAGTAAAAAAAGTTAATTAACATTTTAGCCTTTTAAAAAGTATAAATGTTACATAGTAACATCTATTTTAGATCTAATTATGATTATAATTTCTAATTTCTAACTAATAAATTATTATTGATGGTAGGCAAGGTTAATTTTTTTTATAAACAAAATAATTAGAAAAGAATCTTAGAAATTAATATTTTAAGTTTTGAATATATATATATATATATATATATGAAGGAATGACTCACTGCAGAAGTCATCAAAGGTGTCATTTTGTGATGATCTCATTGAGCCATCAACACAGAATCCATCTCTAATTCCCAAAATAAACTTTAAAATTCATTGCATTATTCAGTCCCTCTCTAACTGCCCTAACCATTAATAAAATTAAAAAAAATAAAAATAAAAATTTAAGGTAAAAATTCATTAATACAAAATAAGAATTTAATGACAGATATTACCCACGTACTTGAAACAAGTATAATTAGAATATTCGATATATAATTATAGACAACACATCTTGTATAAACATGATTATGACACCCGACACTAAATAAATACATTATTTGACGAGTAAATTTATGTCCAACTATAAATTTATTAAAAAATATGATTGAAATTTAACCGAGATACTGTCCAACAATTAAATATATAATTAATATTATTTGTCAACTTTTTTTCTTTATTTAATTATCTTATATGTACCAAACACTTACCAAACACTGAAGAATTGAGGATTTTAGCATCCCATTTGTACTTCAGATTCAAACCCCAACTTCCATAAAATTGCTTCATTTATCCATCAAACTTTCCCAATTAGAGCTTTCATCGATAACTTCTAGAACGAAACATTTAACTTCAACTATAAGCTTTTAATTTTTTAATTAAATTCTTCGTATTTATCGTGGCTTGAGTATGTTCATCATACAATATTAACACTCTTTGGCTCGAGCTTATTATCGAGTTAAAAAAAAAAAAAAAATAGGAGAGTTGGTATTGACTTGTTAATTTATATGTATTTAAGCTAGAGCTTTTATTTTAATTTTATAATATATAGTTTTTATTTATTGTAGACCTTATTTGGTTGAAGCTGCAAGGAATGAACACTATAGAGAGGGACAAAAAATGTTGAATTTTCTTACGTCATAATGCGAAGAAATGGTAAATCTTGGCCAAATTCAAATTAATAAAATTTTTATGGAGAAGATTATTAATTGTTATAATTTGGATTTTGGTTGATTGAATGATATTAATAAAACTTTGTCAAAGAGAAACTGGTGTGAAAAGAGTGAAAATTGGGTTAGTATGGAATTAAAACCATGTGCTTTTATTTATTTTTAATTAGGTTATTTTGAAAATTCAAACATTCCAACATTCCATAACAACCTTAAATTAGACTTCTAATTAATGATAATTAATAAAGTTGATATGATTTATTTTCAATCTCAATTGAATCCATAAATTTTCAAATAATTAACTTTTTATGAAAAAATATCTATTAATTTCGATCGTGTTGGTGTCTTAACTAGGCTCGTATGCACTTCTTTCTTGGTGTGAAAAGTGGATGCATCATTCTTTTAGGTGGCATCATACCACTTCTCGTTTGGCCTGTTTGGGTGTGACGCAATATAATGAGCAAAATAATCAACATATCACCACCATTTGTATGTCACAACCTACTCTTTTCTAGTATAGTTGTAACACTATAATAACTCAAGTCCGATAGTAGATATTATCTGTTTTGGCCCGTTATGTATCGTCGTCAGCCTCCTGGATTCTCAAACGCGTCTACTAGAGAGGTTTTTCATACCCTTATAAAGAATACTTCGTTTCTCTCTTCAACTGATGTGAGATCTCGCAATTCACCATTCTTAAGGGAGCTAGCGTCTTCACTAGCACGCGATGCGCAAGCTCTAATATCATTTGTAACAACTCAAGCCCACCACTAGTAGATATTGTTCTCTCACTTCTCGGTGCCTTAGCTCTGATACCGACCAAAACTCAACGCTAGTAGATACTGTCCGTTTTTGCCCATTACATATTGCCGTCAACCTCAAGGTTTTAAAGTCACTCGTAGTAAACAATAATACTTATCTTACATGTAATTAGTGAGTTGATTTCAAAAAGTACTCTATCTAAACAGGTTGACAGGTAATATATTATAAGTATGCATTTCAGCATATTCTGGTACGATCATTGAGGCCGAAAAGAGGAAAGGGTGATGAGATCCCGTGATTAGGAGGAGCTTTAGAACAAAAGATATTAAATATAAGGAAAGAAACCAAATATTTAATATCTGATATCAGAAAAACTATTTCTTCAATTACAAATTCAATTATCTGATATCAAATGCTTATGAACATTAATTTTAATATCAATCAAATGCTCAGTAGATATCAAATGCTTACGAACAACAACAGTAAACACAACAAAATGTTGGAACAATGATTCCAACACATCTGTATCTGCACAACACAGCACAATGTACACAAAAACAAGAAATATAGAGTACGTCTGTATAGTATGTTTTTATTTACAATCTGTACAAGACTGCACACAAATTTATCGAATGCGATTGAGGTGAGCAAAGGGCTCTGTAATAGAGGATTTTGGAGCGGTTTTAGCCACTTCTGGAGTCCCAAACGCATGCCAGAATCTCAATGTCTCATCTGCTGCCGCCGAAGCCACAGTGCACCCATCTGGACTCTGCAAAAACATCACACAAGGGGGCGATCAGGATATGCTAATATCAAAACACACCACAGATCATAATATGCTCATACTAGTTTACCTGAGCCATATAGAGAACCCTTGATGTATGACCAGTGAGCTCTCCCATCTTCACCATTGAAGGGTATTTCCATAGAGTGAGCTGGTTCTGGGAGAACCCATGAGAGCTAAGCAGCTCCCTCTCGTTTTTATTCCACAGTAAAGCACAAACTTGAGAACCAGTGTCGACAGAATTCAAACATGTGCCAGTGTGGGTGTTCCAAAACTTAATGGAGCGATCGCCCGCGCCTCCACCTGATGCGAGCAGGTTGCCTTGGAATGGACACCAAGCAAGGGCCTTGACTGCAGAGGTATGATCTTCAAGTCTGTGAAGATATTGGGTTGCTGAGTTTGAAGAGGCCATTGATCTATCCCAGATTTGGAGGACATTGTCATTCCCTCCACTTGCTAATTGTTGCCCTGATAATGACCACTTCAGTCCACAAACCTCTTGATCATGACCTCTGTATGTTTCCACTACATGATCTCTAATTCTCACATCGTTATTCAAGATCCTCCCATCCATTCCTCCAGTTGTGAGAATGTGGTTGTTCCATGCCAGTGAACCCACGCGCATCCTGTGCCCACCTCTCAGAGTTCTTAGCTGCATCATCAAGCCATCATCCAAAACAATTCTGGTCAGCTTCTATAAAGAATGAATCAAAGAAATTCAGTTTAAAAAAGGATGGCTCATCAACAGACCTGTCGGTTAGCGGTCGAATCCCACAACTGTACTTCAGAATTGTTCAACCCAATAGCAATATGCCGTCCATCGGGCGCCCAATTTACACTTGTCACAGGACCAACTTCATCATCAACCGTTACAAGTTCTGAAGTAGAGCCATCGTTTGCATTCCATAAGTACACAGTGTTGGAAAGAGCTATAGCAAGCACGTTGCTGCTGCCCCAATCCAGCAAGTTCAAGTAGTAATCATCAACAAGATCAGGAGCATCCAACGTCCTTTCAGAAGTCTACACAACAATATTCAAAATCAGGGAAATGAAAAGAAAAAAAACAGAATCGATCTCTTGAAGGAAAATTAACAAACATTTGAACTGCAATATACCTGGGGAATTTGGCGGCGGGCCTTGACGGGTTTATCATGAGAAGCAGAGGAGAAGAACTCCTTAGGGATCATCTCAACTGGCGCGGGAGGTTTGTTCTTGAAAGCGAGAATTCGAGTTCGATTCATGTTCAATGTCTCAGCCAAACGTTTCTGATAAGCCTCCTTAGAGGGCGAACTAAACGTAGGGTTTTCCTTACCTTTCCTCCCCTCAGTCACCATGTAGTGCGCATAATCGAAATCCATCGCCGATCGATTCGGAATAAACCTATCCAACTGTAATCGAAAAAGGAATCGTATCACACATCATCAGTACCTTGAGATACAAAAGAAAGGCAGGCAGAAATGAAAACCCTAATTCATCGATTCAGAACACAATTTCACATAAAAAAAGAAAGATCATTATCCAACTAATTGATTTCGATTTCAATTAGGAACAAGCTTACATTTTCTCGGTTATGCTTTTTGTGGAGATGCTGTTCTTGCAGTGGACAGCGCGATCGATTAGCGTTAGAAGAACTCAAAGATCCTGCATCCATAGCGTAATTTCCCAAAAAACAAGAACACAAACAATTCCAACAAAAATAACAGAGAAAGATAAACAGATCACAAATTAAAAACCCTGCAAAACTGAAATTAAAGAAACTCGCAAGATCCACAATAATAGAATATCGACAGCAAAATCAAGAACTAAATATCAATTAAAAAAAAGTTTGAATGGTTGATTATGAGAGTGTATTGCGGAGAGCGCTCGTCTGTTACTGTTAGAGAGTGCGTGAGAGAGAGAGAAAGAGAGAGAAAGAGAGAGCAAGAGAGAGGGGAATAAATTGTATTTCAAATTCCTCGAACTGAGATTATATACTCGCGATTGGAGTATAAATGGAAACTGGTAACGGCTACGTTTGAATTAGCCGTTGGAATTCACTCTGACTATTATGCCCTTCCGTTCCATTATCCTCCTGCGTATTAAAAAAAGGGGGTAGAAATGTTAATATGTCCATTGAACCCGCGTATTACGAAAAGAGCCGTTGTAGTCCATAGGGAAAATTTGTTTTTAATATAATTATTGGTTATTTTTTATTAATTAAATAAAATTTTAATTCTCAAATATTAGTCAAATTTCATTATAGAAGGGAAAACAAAATGTGATTGGTAATAATATGTATAAATGTTTAATAAATAAATAAATAAAATATAAGGGTGCAAAATGAAATGAAATAAATATTAAGCACCCAATAGAAATTATTTAATTTAACAAAATTTTTGGTTGTTGTTCTATGTAACATAATCACTGTCTTTGTTGCTGTTGTTGGATGTTGTTGGATGTTTGTTCACCTATCTTTCCATCTTGGATCACTGAGATTTGGTCACGGTTTTTAATGGTGGAAAGCCCATGTGCACCACTGTTGTTCTGTTCTTCATCAGCCTATCTAACGCTCACTCAACCACGTGTTTCGATAAGACATCGAAGGCGCTCGTGGCTTTGTCAAGTAGTAGAATTTTTGGGTTCTTCAAGACTACCTCGCAATTGCTAGTCGTTGTCATTAGCCACCCAAAAGTTAGATCCCTCTTTCACCTACTTTGGTGGAATGAGGCTATGTGCATTGGCGAGCTTCACTGCTTCGGCTTCGGAAGCTCCTTCTTTCCGGTAGAGAATGTTCTCGTAAATCGACGTGGTGAAAAGAGCTGGTTCCTGTTGAACAAGGCCAATGCACTTTCTTAGAGATTTGACACTCCTCAACTCAATAGTACCCTCCACCACATTTAGCTCTTCAACAACGTCGCCCGACATCGTTGTCTGTCGATTGATCACCTCAAAAACAGATGCCACCATTTGGTTTCCTTTCAAAGGTCAAGGGCTAGTGCTAAAGTGACACCTATTGCTAATGCAGGTACAATCAAAACCATGAATGATTTCATAACAAATTTGAAGCTAGCAAGCCTTCGTCCCATTAAAACTTAACCGTACCTGCATAACGTATGAGCCCTTCTAATATTTGTGACCAATAGTCTAAAATAGTTACTTAGATCATATACCAAAATGTCAAGCCATAAGATGAAAAGATGAAGAATTGAGAGACGCCATAGATCACATACCACAATGCTTTCCCATGATTCCGAAAGAGAGATGCTCAACTCCATACATCCAATGATGTCATCATTTGGATAGAATTTCTACTATGCTCATTATAGATAATAGTTCTGAGTTTCAAATCTTTTAGGGAGATTGTTTATAAAGGACTCTCCACAATTGACGATGTTCTTGTGTACAACAATGCTTGTGAATCAAACAAGCAGAGCCCGTGATAAGAAAATGACACAATTCATGTAACCGCCCAAACCTATCGTTATCACTAGCCAATAATGTCCTCTTTGGACTTTTCCTTAAGATTTTTAAAACGTGTCTGCAAGTGAGGTTTTCACACTCTTATAAATAATGCTTAGTTCTTCTTCTCAATCGATGTGGGATCTTATAATCTACCCCATTCATGGCACTCGTTCCCTTCTCCAATCGATATGAGACCCTCACTTCAGGGGCTTAATATCCTTGCTAGCACACTGCTTCGTGTCCACCTCTCTTCGGAGTTCAGCCTCCTCGCTGACACTTTGCCCAAATTAAAATTAAAATTTAATAGAGTTATTGTGATATTTTATAAACGGCAGATATTGCCAATTTTAGTATGTTACTTATCGTGGGAGAAGGATTCCACGATTTTAAAATGCATACAAATATGGTACATTATCATACAAATTGTTTTGTCAATCAAATGTCGTATGGTCAATGTCAGATATCAAAAACAAATTAAAGTAAAACAAAATAATAACAAATTGTTGCATCATTAAGAGGAGGATAGATAATAGATGCATAAACAAATCACATGCATTGTACCCTTTTGTAATATGACCAATGAGGCCCATAGATTTTACCTCCACATTCAAGTAACAACATTAAAGTCAATGCCATTGCTTATTTCCATGGGACACACCTACATCTTCAATTTATAAAGCTCTTTTAACTTTATGTTCTTATTAATAATTCTTGGTACCAATTTTTTATGCTGCATTTATTATAATTCCTAAAACACCCCTTATGAAATTTGATACTAAAAGTTCACATAGTGCTTAAGAAAACTAAAATGTTTTTTTAAAATGTATATTTTTTATTTATGTTTCGATTTCTTAACCATAGCCTGTCCAAATTACAAATTTAAAATAGAACACTAAATTGCTACATAATTGAGAATATTGAAGCTAAATTCCATCAAAATTTAATTATTGTAACCAAATTTTTTTATTTTTAATAAATAAATAAATAATTCAGGATTTGAAATTTGAAACAATAAGTGGAAGGTTTCAAAATACTGAATAACAAAGGGAAAAGGCTCCAACCCCTAACATCAACACGTAGAGCCTAAAGGAAAATTGAAGTAGAGTGCACCGAAAAGGCGCTACTTCTGAGTACTGTGGGATCCACGTGGACTTAGGACCACCAAAAAAAAAAAATCCTAATCATCAAATATCCAAAGCATTAGGAAGCAAATCACATCATGACACGTGGGCCTCACCCACTCCCCTTCAATTCCTTGGCGGACACTCACACAACTCATTTATTTTACAATTAAATATTATTTTATCAATCAATTTATAAAACAATTAAAAAGAAAAAGGAAAAAAGAAAAGAAGAATAAAGGCTTTACCTCCGGCCGACACTCGTCTATTAAAATGCACCAGCACTTGCCTAGGTTGTCCTCTTCTCTCTTTCTTTTTGTTTATTTAATTCAATATGACTTTTTTTTTTTATTTTATTTTATGAAAATTATAATATTCTCTAATGAGAAAGAATACAAAAAAATTGTTTTAATTATTGACTAAAATGACCCACTTCCTCTAAATAATTATTGCTGCAAATTAAAAATTTACATGTCATCTAATAATCCTTAAAGATGTGGATAAAAACTACTTTAATAATTGAATTTAAATAAGTTAAGTAATTACATTATCAGAATATATTTATTTGAAATAAATTTTATTTCGATTTTTCTTTATTTTATTTTTATTAAGTAAATAAGACAAATGAATGATTTAAAGTAATGCCATTCATTAAATGGGGACCCGTTGGTCCCTTGTCCGGTAAGGAACAGAATTATCAAAATAAAAGTATCTACCGACACCCAGCCTCAATTATATTACTAATTTTATTTTAATAATAAACCCATCGAAGAAAATCCCAAAAGCTAGAGGAGATATGTGGAGGGGCAACCACAAAACTAAATAGGCAATAAATGGAGGGCTTAAAAATAAATTTGATAGAAAGAACCTGATACCGTCAGCGAATACAGCATTTTCCAGCTGGCGTCTCGGCCCTTCTCTCAATGCCATAACGGTCCGATTCGGAAAATCGAAACTAACAGAGTATATTGCAGCTGGATTCCATATTCATCCCCGACGCGCCGGGAATTAAAGCGCTCCAGCTCCGGGAATAAGCGGCGCGTCATGGTTTTGCTTCTGATGAACTGACAATTTATTCATTCTTTGTTTGTATTAAGTTACAGAAGTGCCACCGGCGCTAGCAGAGGCAAACAAAAAATTGAAAAAGTAAAAGAAAAGGAATAGAACAATTTAATCTGACGGAGTATTTGATGAACAGAAGCTTTTAATTTAAAAAATAGTTACGGGAGGAACACGCGCCGGCATGAGAAGCTGTGAGGCGAAAACGAGGTCGGTGAAATTTTACCGCAAGGTTAGATAATCGGTAATGCAGAGTTTAGAAATCGGCGAGTTTCCTCGGAGCTCGAGATCTCAGAGAATGTGATTTTTCGATCTCTTTTAGGTTACGGAGACTTTGAATCGCTAGGATGTTGCCTTTCTTCGGTACGATAAGTTCGTCTCCTTCGGCTTTGATTTCTGCCAGAAATTCACCAAAAAAAGCGATTCAAATTCAGAAATTAAACAGATAATGTCTCAATTCGCGAAATCATCAACTACATTATACCTAAATGTTCTGAAGGACGCTTGAATCCATGAAACTGAGCCAAATCTGAAACGATTGAAACAGAATATCAACTGAAACGATCGATTAGAATCAAACTAAAGCGAAATACTAAGCGATTGTCGATTCCGATGGGAGGAATTGCAGGTACCTGACTGCGAAGGACTGTGCGAGAAGATGTAAAGGATGAGGAAGCAGATAATGGTGAGGATAGGGATAGCATGAACGAACTTCTCCTGCCGCTGAGGAGAAGGCGTTGGAAATGAGAATCGGAAGGATTTAGAGGCTTTATCGTCGTCTTGTCCGTCGTAGTTGAGAATTAAAGAAGAAGATGGAGAGTGCTTGTTGCGCTTCTGATCGTCGGCCGGAACTGCATCCGATTTGGCTCCGGCGCCATGGCCGTGGAGCTTGGAAACTGGTGAACCTAGAGATTGCCTTTGCATCGTAGAGAGAGACAGAGAGAAGTAGAGAGAGAAGCGATGTTGCTCACTGAAATGAGGTCAGTACCGTGATAAACTTTTTGTGTGAGTTTTCCGTTTGGGCCTCGTGACGTTTGACTCTTGCAATGACACCCCCAAATTATCTAATAATTCTTATTTGCCACCATCATTTAAATTATTATTCTAGTTTTATGATTTGTTCTCAATTTCAATTTAATCTTTATAATTTCAATTTTTCAATTATATTTTTATTATAATTCTTTTTTTATTTATTTTAATTTAGTCCATATAATTTTAACAATGTATTCTCTATTTTCAAATATTTATTTTTTTTATACCATTTAAACTATATCTTAATTGACATTTTCTTTAATGTTGAAAATATTAAAATGTCATTTAAGCTAATTAATATTGGTAATTTTATTTTATGGTAGGTTTTGTTGGTACTCTCTAATTAATTATAGTCTTTTGCCATTTAAAGAACATGCGAAAAAAAACGTCATAAATAATAAATTATTTATCATTTAGTGACACAATACCTGATATTTGGGTAGATTTAAATAGAAATAAAATAAAAGCTTTAAAAACTAATAATGGAAATTACCCATGTAATTAAAATGGTAATATGCGTAATTTTATATCATGTATTTGGACCCAATATTATATAATACAAAAAAATTCACATAAAATATTCCTTTTTTAGTTCCTAATTATTCTTATTTCTTTTTTGTTTTAAAGGAAGAAAAATAAATAAATGCTTTCATCTTTTGGAAAATAATCTTAGTCGTAGGAGAAAAAAAAAACTCCTCCCACCGGTCCATCCAGTGCAAAATGAGATACTTTCTTATTAAAAATAAAATATTTTTTTTCATACAAAATCTAAAATTATATTGGAATATTTTGATGAATTATTTACAAATTCTGGCGCATGATGAATTGGACCATAGTTGTACATTGGGCTGTTAAAGCCCATTTTGATCAGGCCAAGGCCCAATTATTTGCAAATTCCCGCGCATGATCAATTGGGCCATTGTTGTACATTGGGCTGTTAAAGCCCATTTTGATCAGGCCAAGGCCCAATTATTTGCAAATTCCCGCGCATGATCAATTGGGCCATTGTTGTACATTGGGCTGTTAAAGCCCATTTTTGATCAGGCTAAGGCCCAAACTCAGAGTTTCACGTTTGAGACCGGACAAAACACTATTGCTTATTCTGAACCGAAGAAGAAGAGGAAGAAGAAGAAAAACAGAGCGAGGGAAAATGGTGTTGTGGGAGATTACATTGGCAACAGCGTATTTCTTGGGGTTAAAGCGAACGTTTAAGCTCGCTATGAAGATTCAGCGACGTCTTGTTTCCCCCAAGCACCCTCGGATTCGTCAATTTCTGCGCGGGTATTTTTCCTTTCTCTCTTGTTCATCGTATTCTCTTAATCTGAACGCTTCTAAACGTGTTTGTGATTGTCCAATTGAACGCAATAGATTTCTACGAATCTTCTATTTTTCCTCGAGTCTGTAGAGTTTCAATTGAAGCAATTATTTATTCATTTCTGCAATAAATGTTGGGAGCTTGTTTGAGGAAGTAAAAAATTGATCCTAAATGTTGGAATCAAGTAATTAGCGATAGTTCAAGATACTGATTGGATTAATATATGATGGACATGCCACTGTCTAATATCGACGAGGAAGCTAATCAACAATTTTTGGTTGAAAATTTGGAAGTGGAGGATATATGTTACATTGTTGAAGATTTCTTTAACTACTGATCTGGAAGTTCGGATACTTATTCACTTACAAAGGAAACAGATTTTTGACATATTCTTACCCAAGTTTTCTACATTATTTACCGACTCCCGATCCCGTGTGCTACATTATTAGTTCTAAGAAGATTTTGGGCTTTATATGCTTCATTTTCCACCGTTGATGCTCCATCGTTTTGCTTTTCACACGTGTTTTGTTACAGAATCGAGGCCTCCACATCTGGTTAAACACAATCTGGTGGGAATGGTTGATGAACTAATTATTCTTGAAATGCTTTTTTCTAGTTGCTGGATTTAGGCCTTTACATTTCCTTAATTGCATTCTGGTGGAATAGTTGATGAACTTAATTATTGGCTTATGTGGAAGATATACATTATCTGAGATGTGCACTTCTTCATGTGGGCCTTCATTTCCTTCGTAGAGTGGAGACAATAGTTTTGGGCAACTAAGTTAGTGAACTTTCAACCTGATAACGCTTCATACCTGACATATCATGTTAGGAACACTATTGCGTGGAATAAAAACGGTGAGTAGGGACTCTGCAGTACTCTTCATGGCTCTGTCTAATAGGCAATAGGCTTGTGATTAGGAAGTGGTCTTCTTTTTCTTTTGATAAATGGGTTATAGGGGTCCCCCTCCTAACATTATTCTCATGACCCTCCTCCAATAAGCTTTTTGGGAGGTTCTGTACATCCCTAAGCCACCTCCAGGAGACGAAATATTTTAAGTTGGTAAGCTTCCAACCCAAAGGATTTATATTGTACTGCTGCTACCTTCTATCGACATCCACCGGTTCAAACACCATTACTACAAGGCTTCTTGTCCAGTTGTCCTTTGTTTTTTTAGATACTAATATATTGCAACATCAAAGGGAATTACGATATTACATTAGTCTTTTGAGAGGGCTATCTCTCTCCCAAGTCTCACAGTGGACACTCCACTAAAATGATCCACACCTTCTAAGGTCTCCACTCCTGTTTATAACCAAGACAACCCTAATATTAACCTTTGTGCCCCTTACTAATATACACTAATCCCTCGCATATAACCCAAAGCATACCATACTAGTACTCTGGCAGTTTTCTAATGATAAGTTTGTTATTTGAGACAATATCTAGAATATGGCTGCAATCAAACTGATTCTTCTATTTTAGGTGATGCAATGCCAGGCGTTGCACTTATACCAATAATTTTTCATGTCCTTAAATAGGTCTGCTACATGACAATTTCTATTTGTATTACTCAATTGCCACAAAACTTGCTAGCAGATTTAGAGAAATGCTTTTGATATGCCCACTTTCTTTTGGATGCTATACAGCAGATTGCGTCAAATACAGATTAGCTATTCGACGTGCAATTGATAAGCGTGTCAATGGCTACTATCTTAAAGGTTTCTCAAGAACTTTGATTTCATTAACATTTTAGATTTTACATCTTCGTTGTTATGGTGATATCAGAAATATGGCATGATTTCTTTGTAGTATGATCTATTTTACAAGTGATAATGTAAAAGCGAAGACAAGTATACTGTGTGGTGTATACAATGTTCTCAAAGGCTTCCCCTTTCTAGAGTTTGTGCACCGAGCCTCTTATAGTAACTAGAAGGACAATATCATCTTATTGTCTATTCTTTAAAATACATTATCCCATATTATTCATGCCGTACTACTAGGACATGAGTTAGGGTAATTCAAGCCTTTACTACATTTACCATCATGGCTTACGAAAAAAAAAAAAAAAACTAGTAGGTCAACCCTATTAGTGTTAAGAATCTTCATTGAAGTATGTGGCAATTGAAGGATATGATTTTTGATATTTTATTTCTTTTCAATAACTCCTCAAGGCTGATGTCTAGTATATTTTAGGTAAAAGTCTTGAGACGACCTTTAACCTTTTATATATAGTAGCATTGCAGTGAAGTTTAATTGCCAGGGCTATGTATCTCCTCTGTTCTTCATTTTTCTCTTTTTATTTTATTTTAACTATGGAATGCGAATACTTCAAGATTTATCCCTCTATTCGCATGAAATCATCCTATTTTCATGTGAAATTTACACACATAATGACCTAGTATTGTTAGTAATCATATGAAATATTCTTCAACTTCATGATGAGCTTCAATGGCCCAAGTTGCAGTAGTAAAGATCTAGTTGTTTCTGGAACTTATGGCTTGATATTCTAAATTTTCTACCCCCAGTTCTTCGGTTGATTCTTGTCAAGTTATCAAAATTCATCGAGAGCGCCCAAAACCTTGAAGCATTGGGATTGTACTGGCTTCTCCATGAACTCACCATAGTTCCATAACTGCAGAACTACTTGTAATATGTTATTGCTGCTAGTCTGTAGTTGCTGTTCTTTAACTGCTGGAAAGTACTTTTTTACTTAATGCAGACGTACACGCGCCATATTTGATGTTACCGTAAAAGTTCACCAGAGAATTCAGCATCGAAACATAGAAGTTGGTAAGAATCTTGGTAGCTGGATTTCACGAGGGCTTAATCGAATGAAACAATCTGCTGAGATTCATGAACCTCCAAGGGGGCCTATGAAATGTATGAAAATGGTCAAGCAGGCTTCCAGCTCCTACTTGAAACACCGGCCCAGCCCTCGAGCGGTGATTAGTCAGAAATTCGATCAATATATGTCAATTACCTCATCAGTACACAGATGGCCTAAGCCCTTCCCTACCATTGCAATGATCATGAGGCAGCCGAAGCCCGCTGGAACTGGGACCATGATCCAATACCGACAATATGCCATTTGTGGCTCTGAAGCAATGACAACAATGAATTACAGAAGAGGAGGTTTCAACAACGTTATTCGAGAAGATATTATGCAGTGGATGCTCCGAAATTAGAAGAGAGAATGTTTTCTAGTTGCCCTCTCCTTGGAGACTACAATATTTGGCCGACAATACAGTCTTTAGTGAAGTGTTTAGCTTCCAATCTTAGATTGGAGTCGATGGAGATTGTTCCTTTTCTTCTTGATGTAAAATCTTTCTAACATGTTCTTAGTAAAAAGACAATGAGATTTTTACCGTAGAATTTAATGCCAAATTTGAAGTAATAAATAATGGTTGCTCCGTTTGGTTTTTGACCAAACTTTCAATTTTTATTCAGAAAATTGCTGCGTTAACAATTATGGTTTCTGCTTACACTTTTATTTTTCTACCAAACCAAATTCCTATTATTATTATTATTATTATATAAATAATCCAAGAATGTTAATGATAGTTTTAATTATTCACAATAATTTTTTATATTAAAGATTCCCAAAATTTAAAAATGAAGGAGTTTATTTTTTATTTTTTAGCTTAACAAAATTCGAAGGAAAATTTTAAATTTCTTAACCAAGTTTAATTAACTAAATAAAGCTTTAATAAATACCCATTAATTCCCATTACATACATTAGTTATTATAAAGTGCAATGTATATCTATCTTATTTATATAATTGTTTCACCATAAATATCTAATTAATTAAAATCCCCAACATTATACAATAAGAATAAAATTCTAACAAATCCCATTCATAATCAAATGTGTAAATTTTGTCCCCCCCCAAAATAATCAAATACGTGGAAATAGTCTATTATCCAAATTTTAATAAATTTCTATAACTTCTCTTAATAGTAAACTACATTTTCATATAATTACTAAAAATTCAATACGCTATACATGAATTTTGACACCACATTGTATTAAGATTTGTATGATACTTTAACATACACATGCAATAATTTAATTAATGTCACATGATACTATACTGTAGTAATTGATTACATTACATTCATGAAATAGTTTATATGGCTTTTAATTTCATGAAAATCCTAATGTAAAAACTATATATTAAATATAACATAAGAGTTGTCCAATCTCAATGTGACTTCATTATTGCATTTCCAAACATGGCAACCATACAAACTTTATTATTATTTCACCAAAATATTTCATATCTTACCATTCATATGAAATTATTCTCTTTTCAACCCTTGATTTTTAGATTGCTAATTTAATGATTCATTCTTATTGACTTTATAAGTTTTAATGAAAACTACATTAAATTTATTCCATAATCTTTAGTGAAATTATTTAGAATATTATCATGTTATAACTATAGGGGTAAATGGGTAATTTTACAAAAAAAACCCACTCGCAACTTAAACAATTAAAACATTAATTTTGTATGAATTTTAAGAATGTCTAAAAAGTCACTTATTAACATTTTTTTGGATTAAATCAAATAAATTATTTTAAACAAATCCGATTTAAATGATTAATTTTGTGCATCGTTAATTAAGATAGGTCCCCCCCAAAAAAAAAAAAAAACGAACATCCCTATTTATATTGTCGGGACATCCCTACAATGATCAAAATAATATTACTAATTACTTTTTTTAGAATATACATCATAAATATAAAGTGGTAGATGATATAACTTATAAAATAAAAATTTTGTTAATCTAAATATAATTCTTAAAAAAAATATATTATTTACCAAAATACTAAATATAAATTAACTTTCCACTTACTCGCTATGTTAATTTTGGAGACCATTATTAATTTAATCTCTGTAATTACTTAATTCTAGTTCACCGTAAAAAAAAAATAAAATAAAATAATAGAAAGAAAAGAAGCGTTAATCTTTGTGTAGCGTGGACGAAATACACCCCTAGATTTTTCTCGTGGGATCCAAAACAATGGATGGTCCAGATCCTTTTGACCGGTAGACTGGAGGAGTAATTTCTACCCGTCCAAGTCAAAACTATATCTCATCGCTCAATCCACAAGCCGGTTACTTGCTGTCTCGGTAAATGGTTAATTCACACGAAACCCACAAACTAAAACACCCCAAATAGAGTCTACACTTCACGACCCAATCACAGAGCGCGTGTTTCTCACACACTGTACTGAGATAAAGGTTTGACTTTCAATTATCTAGGGAGGAAATAGAATTCCACTAAAAATATGCCACGTGGAATTTAACAGCTATGCGTAAAAATATTGGAGCCGATGCGTTTCTGTCAACGTGCATTAAAAACTCATCGTGGTGAAATTTTCTTTTTTGTTCCAAAATTAAATTACGAAATTTATTATGGAGAGAGAAAGTTAAAATATCAATCCATTACATTTCTAAATACCATTCGTTATTTTAATTAAAAATAGATTAAATAATTATCATAATCATGATTTTAATGTAAGAAAATTACCATTTTAAATTTGATTGAAAGTAAAAAAAAAAAAAAAAAAAAAAAAAAAAAAAAAAAAAAAAAAAAAAAAAAAAAAAAAAAAAAAAAAAAAAAAAAAAAAAAAAAAAAAAA